CTGGAGGTCTGCACCAGCTTTTCTCTTCCTTTTCCTGGACCTGCCTGCTTTTCTGTCACCCCAAAGGCCGATACTCATGGTGTCTTGAATTCTCACTACCAAGGTGGAACCCCTACAGATGGCTGCCAAAGACCAGCTACAGAATTTACGGAGCCCAGTACAAAAGGAAAACGCGGGCCACTTGTTCAAAAATGATTACTGATTTCAACAGAGCCACAGCAGGGCCTTCTGCGTGCAGGGCCTGTATGTCTGCACAGGTTGTGTGCCCACGAAGCCAGTCCTGGTTGGCTCAGGTGCAGAGGCCAAGGCCAGGAAGGCCACAGACGTGAAGTCCTCTCAAGAGATGGCGCAGCTGCTTTTCCCCGCCAGCCCCTAACCTCTCCCAGTACTTCCCAGAGGAGCCCATGGATGAGGTGCAGCGTGGCAATGGACTGGGGGATGAATTTAACCGTGGCAGGGCCACATCAAGGAGGAAGATTTGGGAAACAAACAGTCTTTCTAGAGTCTAATAGATCATTCCAGGACAGTACCTAACATCTCCAAATAACTTAACACAAAGAGCTGGGAAACGGCATAGGCCGGACTATAAGCTGGGGTCACAGGTGGGCAAAACCCCTGATTCTGGCTACCTTTTTCTGTAACCCAGATTCTGAACTCCCTGCACCTTCCATGTGCCCTCTTGGCCCCCAGAGAGGGAGTGAGAAGCCCACTAGGTGAGCTGTCCAGTCCATGTGTGGCCAGCCAGAATTCCGGAGACTCACACAAACCCTTACCCAGCACACTGGGAATCCAGATACGTAATCGCTCCCAAGCAAAACACCACATTTATTCAGGTCCTTGAGTTAGAGTTTACTTAAAGTTCTGCCAGCAATTCTGACTTTCTTAAAGGAATTGAGCGCCTCCTGCTGGGTACTAAGTAGCATTGGCATCAAACTGTCAAAGCACCAAAATCTGAAAACACATCTTAGGGATTTGACCTTGTACACAAACCAGTGACAACAACATGACTCATGGTGGTAAAATTATGAGTTATATGAATTACATATAGGTTTGGTAATAGGTTGAATTTTTAAATGTTTCATGACTCCTAGGTTCCTAGCAAAATTTTTTCAGTTTTTTTAATCTCAGTTGTAAAAGAAGGTAAACATTTGGAAGTTCTAAATGATCCAATAGGATTTTCTTCCCATTTCAGAATGCAGTGGTCACAGAAGGTTTTTCAGGGGACATCACGTGGTCCAGGAAGAGGACACAGATTTTAGGATCAGACAGCCTAGGTTGGAACCCATTTACTATTTGAGTGACTTTAACTTGGAATGAATTATTCAATTTTAAGCTGCTATCACTTGATCAATGAGGACAATAATATCCACCTTAAAAAGTGGACATGAGGGCTGGAGGTCACGTGTCTACAACACAAAGAAGCACTCAGTTAACTGTATTATTGTTACTATATTATTAAGAAGTGGGTTTAAGTTGGACTTCAAAGGATGGGCAGCTCCTGGACCAGATTCTCCATTGCTAGAGGACAGAGGCTGCACCCAGAGTCGTGTGTCTGGCTCAGAGAATTTCCCCCTTGGTCACAGGTTAGCACTCGCACTGGGCACCCGAGTCTCTTTTGAACCACACAACCACCATCCGGGGTGCTGGCTTCCTGACACACACCTCTCACCTGGCACTTGTGGGCAATGACCTCTAAGACACTCCAAGTCCCTCTACTGCCACCCCCATATTGCTGGTTCAAGCCATCATCATCCCTCACTTGAGCCAAGGCAAAGCTCTTCTGTCTTTCCACTTCTGTTCTTACCTGCTCAAACCCAGAGTGACTTAGGTTAAAAAAAAAAAGGTTAAAAAAAATAAAACCTGATTAGGCCACTCCTCTACCTCCTCCTGCCTCCCCACCCACCTTGTTCGGGATGCCAGCTCCACCTCTGAGCTTTATGCAATTTGCTCTTGGCCATCAATCCTCACCCCCTAATTCTTTCCCTGGCTACTCCTACCCATCCGTCAGGTGTTGGCCCACAAACTCAAGGAGGGTACAGGAAATATCATGTTTTCTTATTTTCTTCAGAGCAAATTAAGTCTTTTCGGCTCCATTCTGCTGTGCTGCAGCAGAAATTAGATCTGTGGTCCCTGAGGCATCCTTTCCTCTTTCAGGGTCTCACAAGCATTTAGGATGTTCATAAATGAGCTTGAAAATGGGCGAGGACCTCTACTCTCCAGTCCATCTGCGTCCCTGCTGCTGTCCTCACCGTCAACTCTGAGGGGCCCTTGAAGGAGGCGGTTCCAGTGCTAGGGTGTCTTTGGCCAAGCTGGGAGACTCAGGTTGACTTCACGTTTCCTTTGGGGCACCTCCGAACCACAAGCTTCTGAAGTCCACCATCTCCCTGGGTACCACCAACCACTGGGGCGCAGACTTCCACTACTCCTACTGCTCCCCAAAAGGGGGTAGGGTTGGTTTTGAGCACATGCTCTCTGCTGTGAACGGGAAGCATTAAGGACCTGACCACTTCCTTGGACAATGGAAAAAATTCAAACACAAAATATTTGAAATTATGTGCTATAAAAGCTACTTACCACAAAGTTTTGCTGTGATTATCTAATCTAAACCAGGTCCCCAGTCATACTCCCTATACCCTGCAACAGTCACTGCTGGGGCCCAGATCCCCTTTGCCCCATCTGTCTGTGCACCCGTTCCCTGACTGTGTTGGCTGCCAGGAGATACACTGTTCCCTGGAGAGCCCTGGCCCCTGGCAATGCCTGGTTATGCCCTCCCTGGGGCACGGAGGGAAGGCAGAGCCAACGGCTGACCACCGCATACTCAACACGAAGGCCTAGGATCTTGCTTCAAGGTGGGAAGACTCTTGGTAACATCGTGCTCTGTAGCTCCTGTGGGATCAGGCAGAGGCCAGACTCCAGCTGAAGCCACATCTTTGCTCAGGTTCTTCCCCTGCCCTACCCTGCTTCCCTCACAGATTTCTCCTGAGCGCACAATCTCAATAAATTCCTTGCACAAGAAACTGCTTCAGATTTTGCTTCTAGGAACCTAAGGGACATCTTCTATTTTTTCTTCCTAGCGTGTCACCATTTAAAATCAAAGATTTGTATGCCTGTTGGTTAAATGCTTGTTTCCTTCACTAAATAAAGGCAGAAGCCATACTTATTTTGTTCACTGCCATATTCTCAGCACCAAGTGAGGTGCCTCCCATAGAGGAGAGCAACACACATGCTTTGAACTCGAAAGTTACAGGAACCAAGGCGCAGGAACCAACTGGAAAGCTACAGGGACACAGCCTCTGAGCCTCCCTCTGCAGACACTTTCCTCCTTGGGTATTCTGGCACATAAGGTTGAAAAGGCACCCTACAACGGCACCCTAGCATCTCTTGTGCCTATGATCCTCAAGCCAGTCCTAGATGGGCAGATTCCAAAGCTGCAGTTGACAATTTGGCCCAGAATTTGTCACCTAATTCCTCACGTGAGCTATGGTTGTCACCACATCACAGGTCACAAACTTGGCATGGGGGCAGTTCTCAGATAAGGGTCATAAGCCAAGCAGATAAACCAACAGCTGCCTGTCTTACAAGCCTAATTCTGATTCAGCTGAAATCCAGACAGCTTTCATATTTCACTGTTCCACCAATACCCCTGGGAAAGGCTGGGTCCACAAGCATGGATGGATTCATATGAACATCTCCTAATATCCAGATGTCAGTGTTTTAGGTATTATACACCACAAATAAAGTTGTAGTAAAGCCCTCATTTAACTAGAACATGGAAGAACTGTGGAATTTTAGGTACTTTAATTTTTTGAAAAGCTTTGTTCTCTTTTGGTATAAAATGTTTTTCCTGAACATCATAATTCTCTTTTCTACTGGGTTGTCTGTCTTCAGTTATTGAGGGACTGCTGACTTGGGGTCTTTATTCTGAGATAAATGACTTCAAGGCAAGTCACTGATCCACAGGGAGATCAGCCTGGGTGTGTCTGGATGTCAGGTGAGTTGTTACAACCATGTTTCTGATCGAAACCCTAAAATCGGCTTATTTGTTTTGTGGTACACTTCCTACTCCTAAAAGGTAAGTAAATAAAATGGCCCAGTTAAAAAAACAACAAGAAGAGAGATTTCAATTATTCAGTGTTTCCAGTTTTTCAATGAGGGATACAGATGTAAAAGCCAGGGCCTCTTCCCACAGAGTTTACAATCTGGGGAGAGAACAAAAGAGATACCACATAAAACAGGCAAAGAATTCTAGGAGATAATGTCCATCAATGCGTTTTCCAAAATACAAGTTATTGCACAAATGTGTAACTAAATATTGACTCCATGGTGTTTCAGTTATATCTGAAAGGGCTTTGAGAAAATAAGAAATCCTGTTACTGGGTAAAACTAATGGTCTATCTCGCCTTTCCAGGGGCACCAAAGGAAGCTGTAGGGGGAGCAGGGGTTAACCGTCAAGAAAGCTTTTAATTTGTAAATTTATCCAAAGTTTGAAAATACCATGGCGAATCTTAGGAATCCCAGTAGTCAGTGAATGGGCCATATATACGTCCATTACATCTACAGACTCCACACACATCCACTCAGATGATTCTCGGAATGCAGGTACATGAGAAGTTAATTCTCATGTCTAGCTTCGTCGTTCTCATGTCTGGCTTTCCCTCTCATATCTTCAATCACCTGTGTCACAGGACACATATAAGTAGTTGGGAAGCGTTAAACTCTGACAGTAAAGCAAAATCAGAGTTAAAGGCAAATGTTTAATGAATCATGCTCAAATACTAGCTAGTCAATGAAGAACTTTAGGTTCAAAGGGCCAGATATTCTGCAATCCCAAGAAATCGCAATCAGCTTCTGGTTCGGGTTGAGTATTTTCACATTGCATTTTGTGGCCACAAAATTAGTTAATACAGTTTTGAGCGTTGATCTAACACTAAAAGATTCAAATTAGGAGGCTGAAAGAAAACATTTTGTATCTGTGTATTAAAAAAAAATCTGTGGATGAACAAGGAGCCAGGCATCAGTTTCCAATGGGGGGAACGTTCTCATGGAGGTACTGTAAGGCCAAGTCAGTCCACTTCATTTCTTGTTCTTTAACAGATTCTGTGGTGCCACCATTGTCCTGTTCAGGTTCAGGAAGCTCATTCTGAAAAGGTACAATGGACATTCAGGACGATGTTACACTCTACGTTAACAAACCCCTTAAAACTCAAAAGCACTTGGAATTAAAACCTGTGAGTTCCTAGAAACAGGCAGCATAGAAGCGTATCCTAAGGAAAGAGCTAGAAAATAAAAAATGTGAGGAAACATCACAAGTCTCGCTCAAACGTGCCCCATCCGTCTCCAGCCGGGAGTGATGGCATTATGACTGGTACTTGTGTGGCAGGCAGCGTGGCAGAAGGCTCAGGACACAGGCTTCTGGGAGCCACTGGGATCCAAGGCCATGACTCCACCATTTGTTGGGTTACTCAGGCAAGGTATTCAGACCCTTGCAGCCTTTGCTTCCTCTTAGGCAATGAGAGAAAAAAGTAGTCACCATCTCACAGGAAGGCTGTGAGGGCTAAATGAGGAAATGCAGGTCAGGTGCCCAGCACTGCGTGCGGTATCCAGTGCAAGGACTAACTGTCATCCTTACTAGCGGCTAGGAACACTGAAAAGAGCCAGTACTAAATCTTTTTTTGGGAAGGCTGCTTTATAGAATACCATATTTGCTGGCATGTTCCTTAAGCACAAGAAAGGTATTCAACAACGATCCTGTATCCAATGTGCCTATATTATAATGGAGGTAGGAGCACTGAAAATGTAACACAATAGATGAGGCTGCCCCCTAGCGGTGGAGCAGGGCAACATAAAACAACATAGCCTACCCGCAACTTTCTTAAAATGGTAAGCCACGGGCCACACTTAGTGTAGAATCTGGGGAATTTTTTAAATATATTTCGAGCTTTACTGAGATTTAATTTACATATAACATTGTGTAAGTTTAAAATGTACAATGTGATGATTTGAATACACATATATAGTGAAATGATTACTGCAATAAGGTTAACACATCCATCACCTTGCACAGTTCACCATTTTTTGGCGTGTGGTGAGAAGTTTTTGATAGTTTCCTTGTATTTTAAATTTAAATTTATTACTACTGGAACTCTGTTTCGTACTAGAATTCACTGATACCAATATATTTCTTTTCAGTTATCTGAATTTACACTTTTTTTTAAGGGTAGCAAACTGTTATTCAATATCCAGACTTATGATTTCCCACTGGACTCCAATGTGCAGTATATGACTATAATAACGTTTTTCCTTCAAAGTGATGTTCAATATGAATAAAATGATTTAATTACAATATGTACAAGTATGTTTGAATCACATCTTGCTCTACAAATACTCAGATTCAAACAACTTGTACAAATTGAAAGGAACTACCATTTTCTCTAAAGCAATATCGCAAAGAGAAAGTTTTGTTTCAATAACTACTTACAGCTGACAAAGCATAAACAAGTCCTTGGTTAATCAATTATTTGATTCAGATATTACTTAATTTCATCTTGTTCTAAAATAACGTTTTTCACTTGGTCACTATTGTCTCTTGCAATGAATGCCAACAGATAAAATTGCATATATGCCTGGAAAACAAACACAAAGTATCATAAAGTATCGTGAACATAATAATCATCTATTGTGGGGTACTGCAAAAATGGCCACAATTCTTTGTAGCCACTCCTATGAAAAGGCACTGTCTATTTCCCCAATCTTGCATTGGGACTGATCATGTGACTTCTTGGCCTAGGCTCCATGAAGCCTTGCAGTTTCCTCTCATGCTGCTCTTAGAACCCTAAAATGATTGTGAAGTCTGGGCTAATCTGCAGGATCATGAGACTGTGGCCTAGTCAGCTCATCATCCCAGCCTCTAGCCAGCCTGCTGGCTGACTGCAAAACACCACCAAGTCCAGCAGAGATCAACCGAGCTGGCAAAGATCACAAGACTCTCTCAGCTGAATGACAAAATCATGACATAAATAACGGCTGTTTTAAGCCACTATGTTTTGGGGTTATTTGTTAGGCAGCAACAAAAGCTAACGACAAAAACATTGCCTTAGAATCACAAGTCCTGGGAAAAAACACAGATTAGCAACAGGGCCAGGCTACAACTTGGAAGTCAGCATGGAAATCTCCCTCTCCCTCAACCCCTTCCACACAAATGGTCCCCAAATCCTGCTATTAGCATGTCCAGTTTTCAGCAATTCCCCTCCACTTTCTTGCTTTTGTTTAGGTCCTCCTCCCTTGTTTAGACACTGCATTAGCTTCCTAATCGGTCTCTTTGCCCTGTCACTGGCCCCTTTCTCCTTGGCACACGTCCTCTAACAATGCTGCTAAACTGATTTTCTAATATATTTGACCATGGCAGATCTCTACTTTGAAGACCACTCACTCCTGGATATCCTCAGGATGAGGGCTAAGCATGGCATCAAATGCTCCTCTCAAAATTGGGTCCAAGACCAACTTTTCTCCCTACCTTTTATGAGAAGTACATCCTCCATCCACACTGAATTGCCTCACCATCTCCCAAAGCAGTTTAAAACTCTGAGCCTTTGCACATCTGTCCCCTCTGCTGGTTGGCCCTTGTCTACCCTCACTAAACCTCTTTTCCTCCCTATGACCAGCTTAAATGTGATTTATCTCTCTGAAGCCCTTCCTCATGCCCACCAGGCAATCAGCCACTTCTTATACTACACAGCTGTTCACAACCCTCACTTACAACACTTACTATTACAATTATTTATTGATATATGTTGCCTCTCTAGACTCCGAGGGGCAGAAACTGTACTTATGTTTACCAAGTCTTAAGGTACACAGTAGGCTTCAAGAATTGCTTGTGGAATGAAAGAACCACCACTGGACAGGATCTGGAGCCTCACAGACTTCGGTGTGAAGTCCAACTTATTGGCTACCAACCTTTGGGCAAGTTCCCCTCTTTGATCCTGTTTCCTTCCTATACAGTGGGCAGAACACAACCACCCTTGAAGGTTATTTTAAGGATACAGATAATGTATGTCAGATTTCAACCTTGGTCTATGACACAGAACAGGTATTCAATAAGTGGAACTATAATTCTCATTATGCTCTTTTGACTATTTTTCTAAACTTAAACTTAAGCTGTTACTTGTTATTTGTTATGTTTATCATTCACTGAACATACTACCTCTTATTCTTAGATGAAAATGTAAATGGAAGCAGCACATGGTCTGCCTGCAAGCTCTATTTTATTAATGGCTCTTTGCAATTGGCAGGCTCTAAAGAAAAACAGTCTCTGTTCTCCTTGCTAGGCCTCTGTGACATAAATAGGATTTTTAATAAATATTTATTCAAGCAAAATGTTTAGGTCACTTATTACGTTAGGTTTAACAAACTCATTGCAGGAGAATTTTCCAGAGGTCAGGAAAGAAAAGAGTGTGATGGTCTAAATGCAAAAGAAGAAAAGCCAGGTCTCTTCCAAATATTTTCCAGGGAACCTAGAATAGGTATGTGTTCCAAAAATGTGAGCTTCTAAAAATGTCAACTGAGAAACCACAGGTAGAGAAGAAATAAAGTGCATATGCCACTGCTTCTTGTTCCTCCTCATTGTGTGCATTAAACTTTCATCATCTGGTTTACTAGCTTTGGTGTGGTAGACAGAACATGGCTCAGAAGACCTGGGTTCTAGTTCTGGAATGACCCCCTAACTGAGCTGGTCACGTCAGCCTTCTGAACCACATTTCTCTTCAAAGTCAAGCTAAATGTTCTCCAGAAGCTTCTAGAGTTAGAGGACTCCACAGCTTTGATTTCTTTGCCTTACTAGTTTATTTGTCTTGATATCTTACCCCTACTAGGGTCTACCAGATCATACCTTTAACCTATCACCCTCAGCACCAATTACAGCCTACCAGTGGTATTGCAACATCCTCATAAGGCAGCTTGTCTTCTCGCCAAGCATCGTCAATCAAATCCAAGATCCTTCCATCTCTCTGTACCTCACTGTCCATTCTCCTGCAGCTTTGATCTTGCCAGATCTGTAAGCCAAAAAGATTATTTCTTAAACATGAAGACTGAGGAGATGATGTAATCTAGCAGTAGGGTTCTCCAGGCTTTTTAGCCTGGATGTGAATTGTGGCATATCACCCTGGGAAAGACTCATCTCATCTGGGTCAGGTTGCAGTTTATTTATAAGACCATAGTCCCTCCCAGCTGATTTTCCCGGTCACACACAGATTGCACCTTTCTGTAAGATTTTCTCAGATCACTCCAGCTTCAGCAGACATTCTGCCCTTGACCGGTTCCTTCTTGTCCTTATGATCCACTATACAAGTTAGGTCGGTTTTATGACTGATTGCTCAGGCATTACTGTTTCCAATTGCTGTGTGTAAAATTTGTATCAATGACTCAGCATAGCCTTCCCCAATCTGGCCTCAATCTTTTCCCACCTGTCCCTCTTCCAAACACCTCTAACTCTGCCATACTTTCCAACCTTTGCACTTAAAGGTCTCTTTGCCCCATCATTAACACCTACTCTTCCTTCCAAACTCAAAGTTGGGCGTCAGCTCATCGGGGTCAATATCCCATTTCCAGAATTAGGCGCTAAGGTGCCTTCACTCTTCGGGAGCTGAAAGGGTGGATAGCATAAGACGTGCAATGACCAGGACACGGCCACCATCCCAAGTACTTTGCCACACTTGCCAGAATAAGCCATTACCACTTTCCTGAACAAAAATTTTCTTACACATGTGACTATCCCAATTCTTGGAATGCACGATCTTGTTCCTTTTTTCCCCAGCTAACCCTCAGTCAGTCTAAAAACTTAGCTCCCAGGTCGCCTCCTGCAGGAACTTTCTCTAAGCGCCAAAGAGAACGCGGTCCCCGCCCCTCCGCAGGCCCCATAGTTCCCTGGGAGCAGTGAATGGTCCCCATCGGGAGCTTGTTACATTGCCCGTCACAGGGTCTTCCCAGACAGGCGGTGCGTACGTTCCCCGGGGCAGGGCAGTTTTATCCATCTCTGTTTTAGAGCTCTGCAAACATATAGTTACAGTAGCAAAGCTAGAACTTTTTCCCGCGCTAAAAATGACCCTCGTAGGCCACCACCATCCGTACAGGTGTGGGAGGCGGCCCCACAGCCGCGGCTTCCGGCCCGAGGCAGGATATACCAAATGCGGCAGCGGGGAAAGCCCAGGACCGCGGCGCAAGTCCCCTTCCACCCGTCCCGAAGTGCGGTGAGGGGAGTGGTTATGAGGATGAGGTTAAGAGAACGGCCTCGGCCAAGAGGAGCAGCATAAGTCCGAACGCGCTCCCGCTTCTCCAAGACCTAGGCTAGGGGCGCGGGAAACCCTTACCAGCACCCGGCCCAGCGCGGCGCCCGCCTCCAGCGGACCACACCCCCAGTGTCACGTGACCGGCAAGGTCCTCTCTCCGATCCCCAGATATGGGTGAGCCCATTTGCAGGCGCGGAGGGGGAGTCAGGGAGGATGTTGCTTCAATTAAAAGTGAGGGGGCAGTGGGCGGGACGAACGTGCAGACGACTGTGGCTGGACGTCAGGTTGGCGGTGACGCGCGTGCGCGCCCCCGGCCGGAGGTAACGGCGGGAAGCTTCGGATGCGCGCTCGCGGCATCTCCGTAACAGCATGTGCGAACGTCGGACGAAAGAGGGGTGGCAGTGCCTGCAGGCAGCTCTGGCTGTGGTGGGGCCGCGGCCCGAGCGGTCGTATGGCCCGGGGCCGGCTTCCTCAGCGGCCCGCTGGCCTCCAGGCTCGCCCCCGCCGGCCCGGGTCCGCCCCTGCGCCCCACCCTTCGGCCTCGCAGCTGACGCCCTGCGGACCCGCGAAGCCAGATATGGCTTCCCCCAGCGCACTGTTCGGGCCAGCCACGTGGTCAGCCCTTCCCCGGAGGCCGGGCCGGCGGGAGGGCTGCGGGGTGGGCGAGCTGCTCATCTTCCCCGAGCGGAATCGGCCGCGGGCCAGTCTTCCACTTCAGGGGAGAGACCCCCGGCCCAGTCCTTCCGCCTGGGCTGCCTCATCTGGTTAGCTTCCTCACATTGTTGAGACTTAGGTCTTTGATGGCGGGTGATAGCGGTTCATTTATGGGTGGGAAGTTTAGCAAGTTGTAAAAAGTGAGTTTATTTAAAAACCTTAATGTTAGTACATTAGGCAGTGAAATGTGGCAGAAATCATGAAGGTCTGAAGTTGGGGAACCCTGAACTTTAGGATTGCTCCATTCAAATCAGGGATGGGAAATAGATAATGAAGTAAGGGAATAAAAGGAACGGGTTCTTAGAATACTTTAATCATGAAGGTATTTGAAGGCAGTAAATCTCGGCTCATAATGTGTTGTTTTGTTTTGTTTTTTTAATGTCTTACAACATCAGGGTAAAGATGAGCTTGCTCTCAGCGACTAGTCATCGTTTACAGTTACAACACTCTTACTTGCAGAGTAGTTTTCCTTGAGCCTTACAGACAATTCCTAAGCCAATCTTAAAATTTTTTTTCTTCCTTTAATAAAAGCAGTATTGTAGGATTTGTGCCCTGTATTTATACAGTTCCCCACATGCTTGCATTTAATTTTATTTTCTAGATACGAAGAGGAAATCATAAGGATCGTTAACTACATGTTGCCTTCAAATATTTTTATTTATATTGATCATAGCTGTAGCTTAATGATATAACAAAGGGTATGTATTTTCTTATTTGGAATGCAGTGTCATCTTTAGGTTGATTTTTATCCTGAGCTTCTTGCCTTTTGACCATATCATTACCAGTGATCAGTATGGTAAGAATGACTGAAATTAAAGTGGGTTAGATATTTATAAACATTCAGTCACACTGCTCTTTAAAATGTATTCAGGTTTTAACAATTATTTGTAGTTATTGTATATGTTAATTGTACTGATGCCACTTGTCTCCCATTAAAAGGTAGAACACCTTTGTTTGTTCCTTCCTGTTCTCACTTATGTAGTAGTGGTGGCAGATGGTAACAGCGTCAGTGGTCCAATTTATCAGAGCTTCCTACTTTTAAACATATGTCAACTTGATTTGAAATTCAGCTAAAGCCAACATTGACCTGGGCTTCAGGAATTGAATTTTCGGTTTTTATGTTACTTTAGTTTTTTTTTCTTCAAGAGCTAAGTTTGTGTTTTCAGTTTTACAAAACCACAGTATTGTCATCACATCTATGAAAATTAATAAAAATCCCATAATGTCAATATTCAGTCTGGGTTCAGGTTTCCCCACCTGTCCCATACATGTATTTTTATAAGTAGCTTGTTTGGATCAAAATCCCGTAGAGATCCACGTGTTGCATTGAGTTGATAACACCTTTTCAGTCTTTTTTAATATAGCAGTTTCATTGCCTCTCTTTTTTCCCTTAACATTCTAGATTTAGTTGATTGCATCCACATGGTATCCTTTAACTTGTACATCTATTCCCTTTATTCCCTCTAAACTGGTAGTAAGGTCTGGAAATGCACTGTCCAATATAGTAGGTATCAGCCATCAGTGGCTATTTAAATGAATTAAAATGAAATAAAGCTAAAGATTTCAGTTCCCTAGTTGCATTGGCCACATTTCAAGGGCCCAATAGTTTGGTGTATATGTAAAATATTTCCATAATTGCATAAAGTTCTGTTGAACAGCACTGATCTAGAAGCTTGATCAGATTCAACCTTGACTTTTTTTGTGGGGGTGAGGGCAGGGCAAGATTTCATCGGTGGTGCAAAACACTCCAGAGAGGCACATGATGTTTGAGTTTTCTCTCTGTGTTGTTAAAATTGAGCATTGTAGTGGGTTCAGGTGTTGTCAGCTCAGTCCATCCATCATGAAATTCTCCATGAGCCTTTCACTTAATGGTGAGATCCTTTCATGGATTTAGGTTGGCTATATCCACTATTGGCATTGGCAGTTGCAATACGGTGATTTTCTGATTCTGTCATTCCTCAGCATTTATTAGCTGGAAATTTTTTATGAAGAAGAACTTTTTACTTCACCAGCTATTTGACTACCCCACCAGCTATTTGAAATACAGTTTGTATAGGAAAGGCAAGAAAAATGCTTAATTCTTTCCCTCTATTTTCAGAACACAGTAATGAGTTGGTGGCCTAGCAACCTCCAAAGGTAACCATGAGGGTTTTGCCTTTTTTTTTTTTTTATCATCATGAAATTATAGACTTGAATATATTTAAACTTTCAACCTACTGCAGTATTTTTTTGGGGGGGTACTCAAGTTGTCCTGTTGTTGGCGAGTGGCAGCCTGTTTAAGTTGGCTTCTGTCCACTTTGATATGACCAGTAATCTTTGAGAGTTTCCTTATTTTCTGGTAAAACATGTTCCTGGCTCATTTAAACATTTCTGGCCACCAAGAAGCCCTGGTTCCTTTCAGTGGGAGATGGTGTTTAGAGACCAGTCTGGGTGCTGAAGGTACTCTTGCTACTAGATTGGTCACTGGTTTTAGGATTTACAGTGGCCAAAGTTAGGAAATATGTACATTTTTTAAAAAGAGAAGTATCCAGAATTCACACTGATATTTCCAATTTAATTTCATAGTTTTTTTTAAACACTTGATTTTATATTTGTATCTTTTTTGCCTATTAACATACTTTTTCTGTATTATATATAATGCTTTCAAATTAATGATACTAATTTTACTATTAACAATATGATTCCTGAGTGATGTTTAGGGTTTCTGTATAGTACGTTTTTGTCCTTGGTATATATCCCAGTTGGAATATGTACAGTAAAATTGTTGCATTTTAAAACCAATGAAACAATTTGTTATATGGTAAGGGTGCCAACTTGATATCTAATTGATAGTTGATTTATTTCATTTTGTTTCCAATTTTTTTTTTTTTTTGGCGATATGCGGCCTCTCACTGTTGTGGCCTCTCCTGTTGCAGAGCACAGGCTCCGGACGCGCAGGCTCAGCGGCCATGGCTTACGGGCCTAGCCGCTCCGCGGCATGTGGGATCCTTCTGGACCAGGGCACGAACCTGTGTCCCCTGCATCGGCAGGTGGACTCTCAACCACTGCGCCACCAGGGAAGCCCCTATTTCCAATATTTTTCAATACTGCTTTTTTTTCCAACTGGATTTCTTTCATTATATTATAAAACATTAGCATAGTGCCTGTAAAACAAATAGCTGTTAAGGTATACATCCAGACAAGTTTAGCTTCCTGTTTTCTTTACCCTATTTCCCTTCCTTATAGGTATCATATTTACCAGCTTTGAGCTTATCCTTCCAGAAGAACAAATACACTATATATATTATATATTTATATATAATTATATATCCTTAATATATTCTGACATTTATATTATATATAACATATATATAATTTATATTTATGCAATATATATAATATGTATCTAATTTTCTCCCTTTCATAGGTAAAAAGTAGGGTTTGCATATATTGTTTTGTATCTTGCTTTTTTCATCTAATATTATATGCCCTGTAGATCCCACCATAGAAGTATGTAGAGATCGTTTTCCCTTTTCACAGCTTCATAGTATTATTCCATTGGTGGATGAATATTCAACTAGTTCCCTGTCGATAGGCATTTGTGTTGTTTCCTACTCTTGCAAATAGTCCTGCAATGTATATCCTTCTGCATGTATGGTTTTGTATTCTTGCCAACATATGTTTGGGATAGATTCCTAGAAGTGTCATTGTTGGATCAAAGGGTAAATGCATATATTTCAGTTGCTAAGTATTGTCAGAATTTCCTCTATAGCAGTTGTACCGTTTTGCATTCCTACCTACAGTGTATGTGAATGCCTGTTCCCATAGCCTTGTCATCAGAGCGCATTTTCAAACTTAATTTTTCATTAATCTAATACAGAAGAAAGGGTAACTCAGTGTAGTTTAAATTTGTGTTTCTCTTATTGTAAACAAGGTTGAGCATGTTTTCATATGTTTAAGGTCATTTGCATTTCTTTTTATGAGAACTCTTTGTTCATACCTTCTGCACATTTTTCTATAGATTTTTATTTTTCCTTCAGTTTTTAGAAGCTCTTTATATATTTGGTTAGTTAACCCCTTGTGATAAAACTTTCAAGTAATGTCATCTGTCTTTCAGCTTTGCTTACAGCATTTTTCCCATGTAAAAGTGTAGTTTTGTCTACTAAGATTTCTTAGTCTTAGCCCCTTATTCTTTCTGGATTTTGAGTCATAGTTTGGACAGTGTTTTGAAATTTCATTTTTATTTTGGAAAATTTCTTTGATACTTTATCTGATAATTTTTTTCCCTTAAATTTAAGTAGGAACCTTTCTGGACAGTCATAAATGATATTGATTAGTTATTGGAGCAGGCACAGTTTATCAGTCATAGTATATCTGTCATAGCCATAAATCTTTGTAATCACAGTAACACCAAGGCAGGTAAGGGACAAAGCATTGTTATCTTCCTTTAAATGAGACTTGATGAGTAGGCATATTCCTTCTCTTAGTACACATATCTAACCAGAGTTTTTATTTTCTTCCTGTGTCCCATTTTGTGAGTAATTTGATCTTGGGTGCATACTCTGGATATTTTTCCTGATCTGTAAAATAGGTTAAATTGGAGCCCTTTGGGTTCTTTCTAGCTCTTAAATTCCAATATGTTAATGAATATCAAAGATTTGCGCATTACTAGATACCCTCTTTGTTTTTTGTTTTTTTTAATTTTGGTTGTGCTGGGTCTTCGCATGCGGGCTTCTCTCATTGTGGTGTGCAGGCTTTAGTTGCCCTGCGGCATGTGGGATCTTAGTTTTCCGACCAGGGATTGAACCCGGGTCCCCTGCATTGGAAGGTGGATTCTTAACCGCTGGACAACCAGGGAAGTCCCTAGGTAACCTCTTTGGATTCTTTTTTCCTAAGATTTAAAGTATGTTTTCCCTGCTTCCCAGACTTGGTGAAAAAGCCTGTATTTCCTTTAACCATTTTATTCTAGATTTCACTGATTTAAAGTAGTCTTCATTCGAAACGAGAGTTTTAAATATAACTTCTGTTCGTTGATATCTTGGTCTAACTGCAGAAATGACTAAGAGTGTCCTGTACCAATTGTAGAGCTACACAGTTTCCATTTAACTACATTAACATTTCATGTTAGTGGCAAGGAGCAGCAGATTATCAAACAGTAATTGCTTAAATTTGTATTTATTTGGATAAAGAATAAATTTTATATAATTACCACATGGCACAGGCAAAAAAGAAAGCAAATGGTGTAGTGCGTGGAGCTGAATGAGGGTCAGGTTGGTTAGGAAAGGAGTCAGTGATATAGCTGTGAGAAACTCGGATGAGAAAAGTCCCCAGAAGATCTGAGTCCTTGCTGTTTACCAGATCCTCAGGAATGAGAAATGATGGTTTGTCAGCTGCTCGAGGAGATGGTGAAAGTATTGTTAAAAGATCATTATATATTAGTAAGATTATTTTCCACAGAGAATGTTACTGTTTCCTCCCCACCCCATCCCCACCGTTTTTTTTTTTAAAAACAGAGATCTCCTTAACTAAGTCTTAGACCATGATTTTAATTTCTGAAATGGCTATTTTCCCCTATGTGGACTATTTTCACTGTTGTGCTACTGCCACCTGGTGGCCATGGTGGTGACATCATAGTTAAGTTTGTATATTTTTTCCTGTGTCCAGACTTTTCAATTTGATTTGATTTTGTTTATGCCAAGAACACATTATTAAATCAAAAGAAGATATGATGATGTATTTTAAGATCTGGAGTACTGTAAAATATATAAAGATTGCACAATGGCTGGAACTTAGGAGTCACATTGCTTAGGTTTGAATCCTAGGACTGTGGTTTGTAGTTTACCATAATCAAGTTATTTAACCTTCTGAGCCTCAGTTTCCTCAAAGTAATAGTAGTTATGTTTTAAAATTGTTATGAAGATTGAATCTGACAATATAGACAGGCAGAACAGTTGAGCATTCAGTGACTTTTAGCTTCTATTATAAATATTCCTAATTACTAAATAATATCATCCAGAAAATATATTAATGTATTGTATGTTACTAAATCTGTTTCTAATATATATTACTAAATGTATTTTTTAAGAATAACATGACCTAAAGGAGTATAATTCTACTAATGATAGTTTTGAATAACTGTAGTAGCTCTGTCCTGAGGAAGAGCACTTTCCTATGTATTTAATAAATATCCATATAGAGTTGTCAGGAGCATGGTGCAGAATATATGTAATTGGCTATTAGAATCCCACTAAAAAGCTGGAAGAAACCTTGGAGATTATATAGATCATGCTTCTTACTTTATGGAGGCAAAAACTGAAGTCCAAGGACACAAAGCTACTTAGTTGCAGAGTAGGACTCTATCCTGGGTTTCCATCTACATGGTACTGTGTGAACTGTGTACTGCCTCTCAGTTCCCTAGAGTGGATCAAAACACAGAATCTGCATCCTCTTGTAATTGACTGTATCATTGTTTGAAAGAAAGTGGAATAGACCATGAAAACATTTTTCTTTAGGTTTTTATTTTGTCTAATGTTGGTGTAATACAAAGGATAAACCAGCTGGAAAGAAATCCTCTCTGCCATATGTGTGCATGAACAGTTATTTAGTACTCCTGTTAGTAACTTTAGAAATAGATGCAAATAACGTGTAGTGGTTGTATTTTCCAGTCTTCTCGTTCTCCTGTGTCTCAGTTTTATCTCCCTTCCCTTCTTTCTCTGCTAGACTCTTCTCTGTAGTTCTCCAGCTATGACCAGTTGGCATAGGGGTATAGGTGAAAAGGGAGGGGAATTGAGATACATTCAGCCAAAAGCATTCAGCACAGGCCAGGTTGAAATGCTACTCTAAGCCCTGGAGCTGCAGGTGTGGAAAAAACTGGTTTTCTACCCTTGACGGTTGAATAGTAGGGGAAAAAGGTGTGCAAAAGGACATTTCCAGGGTGGTGTAACTCCTATGAAAGAACCTGTTAAGGACTGGGAGCAATGAAGTGCAGAGGAGGGAGGGCCCACGTAGCTGCCTCTTAGGTGAGGGAAGGTGTTCTAGGAGCTTCATGGGCCTGTCATCTAGCCGGTGAGTAGGATCTCCCATGATGGGCCAAGAAGTTGAAGCGCAGGGCATTTAACCTCTTTACAATATCTCTTTAAAAGAAGCTACACGTTTCCTCTGACCTCTCAATTTGTTAGTGTCAGTGTTCCTCTGTTGCTAGCACCCCATCTCCACCCAAGCCCACTCTTACATGAGGAAGTAGGGATGTGACAGTGAGGTATTTGATTTCAGTCGTGCAGGGGGAGTGTCAGTGGCAATTCAGATCATTTTAAATTGTTTTGTTTTAGTCTGAAATGTATTTGGTTCCAGTATTTCTTGAAGAGATATTCCTTGACTGCTTCTACAGTCATCTTAAGGAGTGCTGCATTTTCTCATTGTTATTTGTATGCTTTCATTTACATTCTTAAGTTTGTAAGTTGGAATGTTAGAACATAAAAAATGAATTTTCTCCTGACAGAGTTCTTTGCTTTCCCAGTTGCCAAAACAAAGGGGATTTGGCGATGGAGGCTTTGTTGGAAGGAATACAAAATCGGGGACATGATGGGTAAGTTTGCTTTGACCTTAAGCTTCTCACTGAGTTTAAAAAGCATGTCTGAGTTATGCCTCTGACCATTCTGTGCTTTGGGTACAGAAGCAGAAGTGTGAGCAAAATCTAAGCTGATCCATGTCGTGTTTGTGGACAGTATCTCCCCTTGGGGTGTTTCCCTCATCTCAGCAGTGTGAAGCTGGATGCTTACTATCATCCCAGTTAAATTTTCTGCTTTTAAAAAGGTAAAGGCTATAGAGGTTTTATGACACTAAGAACAAATGCTTTTTTTTAAAAAAGTATTTAAGCCTTAGGAGTTATCTCTGTGGCCATTCCCGGAAATCTCTGAATCCAGTACATCTGTGTCCACTTCTGTTTCTACCTTTGTAACATCTGGCATGTGTCCACTTCTGTTTCTACCTTTGTAACATCTGGCATCTCCAGAAACATTGAAGGATATCAGTAAGTTTACAACAATAAGATAGGATGCGGTAAGTTTCTAATAATAAGTTGGAAAGAAATAGTTGGAATAAATTTGGCTCAAGGATGGAGGTTCTTAAAACAGCTCTTAAAACTGTATTGTCACTTCCCCAATAGCCTACTTGTTTCCAAAGCTTTTTATTTTGTTTGACTAGCTGAGAATGTGACATATGCTTGCCTGGATTCTTCCTGAAAGCTTCCCTAAAATGTTACAGAAGAGCTAGTTGTTGGTTGTGGAAGCCTCACTCACAAACCAGACTTCAAACATAAACCTTGCGTTTGACCAGTTGACTTAGGCTTTAGGTCGGCTACTGGAGGAGGACAAACTTTGTGGAATAAGTGATCATCTTATGTGAGCATTAAAAGGAAAAGCTCAGAGATCCTGTTCTCTGCTTCTGATTATTTGTTGACACTGTTCCACTTCAGGTAGCTTTACATCTTGCCATATTTTTACATGTGAAAGATGAAAAGCCACTTGGAGATATGTTCTATGTTCTTAAGGGCCTGTCTTTATTTATAGGGGATTTTTGACATCCTGTGAAGCAGAACTACAGGAGCTCATGAAACAGATTGACATAATGGTAGCTCATAAAAAATCTGAGTGGGAAGGACAGACACATGTTCTAGAAACTTGCTTGGACAACCGTGAACGGGAACTTAAGGCTCTCAGGAGTCAGGTGGATATGAAACACAAAGAGGTAAAGCAGATGATTTGCTACTCTTTTTGATATTTTCATCTTACCTTTTATAATAAATATGTTTCTTAAATATTTGTTGAAGAAAGCATTTAAAAATTTTTGAATTCAATTTATTTAAAACAAAACAAAACAAAACACAGTTCACCCATTTCTCCCATCCCCTGATCCGAGCCTTGTCTCTTGCAGCCACCAATCTGTTCTCTATATCTATGAGCTTATTTTTTGTTTGTTTCTGTAGATTCTACATGTAAGGGAGATCATACAATATTTGTTTTTCTTTGTCTGAATTATTTCAGTTAGCATAATGCCTTCAAGGTCTAGCCATGCTGTGGCACATGGCAACTTTTTTTTATGGCTGAATAATATTCTTTATATATGTGTGTGTGTACCACAGTTTCTTTTTTTTAAAAATAAATTTATTTATTTATTTTATTTTTGGCTGTGTTGGGTCTTTGTTTCTGTGCGAGGGCTTTTTCTAGTTGCGGCAAGCGGGAGCCACTCTTCATCACAGTGCGCGGGCCTCTCACTGTTGCGGCCTCTCTTGTTGCGGAGCACAGGCTCCAGACGCACAGGCTCAGTAGTTGTGGCTCACGGGCCCAGTTGCTCTGTGGCATGTGGGATCTTCCCAGACCAGGGCTCAAACCTGTGTCCCCTGCATTGGCAGGCAGACTCTCAACTACTGCACCACCAGGGAAGCCCCCCACAGTTTCTTTATCCATTCATTCATCAATAAATACTTAGGTTGTTTCTAGGTATCTTTGTTATTGTAAATGAAGCTGCAGTGAACAGGGGGGTGCATATATCTTTTTGAATTAATTTTTTTTTGTTTTCTTCAGATAAATACCCAGAGTGGAATTATTGGATCATATGGTAGTTCTATTTTTAATTTTTTGAGGCATCTCCATACTATTTTCCATAATGGTTGCACCAACTTAACATTCTCAACCAAGTGTACAAGGGTTCCCTTTTGTCCACACCCTTGCCAACACTTGTTATTTGTTGTCTTTTTGATACTAGCCATCCTGCAAGGTGTGAGTTGATATCTCTGTGGTTTTGATATGCATTTCCCTGATGATTAGTGATGTTGACCATCTTTTTCATGTACCTGTTGGTCATCTGTATGTCTTCTTTGGAAAAATGTCTGTTTGGATCTTCTGCCCAGTTTTTCAGTGGATAGTTTGTTTTTTTGCTATTGAATTGTAAAAGTTCTTTGTATATTTTGGATATCAGCCCCTTGTCAGATACATGATGTGCAGTTATTTTCTCCCATTCAATAAGTTGCCTTTTCATGTTGTTGATGATTTACTTTGCTGTGTAGAAGCTTTTAGTTTGAAGTAGTCTCACTTGTGTAGTTTTGCTTTTGCTGCTTTTACTTTTTTTGCTTTTGCTTTTGGTGCAGATTCAAAATATCATCACTAAGACCTATATCAAGGAGCTTACTGCCTATGTTTTCTTCTAGGAGTTTTATGGTTTCAGGTCTTACGTTCAAGTCTTTAATCCATTTTGAGTTAATTTTTGTGAATGGTGTAAGATAGTGGTCCAGCTTCATTCTCTTGCATGTGGCTGTCCAGTTTTCCCAACATCATTTATTGAAGAAACTGTCCTTTCCCCATCGTTTATTCTTGGTTTATTTGTCATAAATTAATTGATCGTATATGTGTGGGTTTATTTCTGCGATCTCTATTCTCTGTTCTGTTCTATCGATCTATGTCTCTGTTTTTATGCCAATACAGTACCATTTGTATGTAATAATAGCCTTATAATATACTTTGAAGTTAGGGAGTGTGGTGCCTCCAGCTTTGTTCTTCTTTCTCAAGATTGCTTTGGCTATTCAGTTCCATGCAAGTTTTAAGATTTTTTGTTTTATTTGTATGAGAAATGCCATTGGAATTTTGATAGGGATTGCACTGAATCTGTAGATTGCTTTGGATAGTATGGCAGTTTCAACAATATTGATTCTCTCAATCCATGAGCATAGAATATCTTTCCACTTATTTGTGTCTTTTTCAGTTTCTTTCATTAATGTCTCGTAGTTTTCAGTATACAGATCTTTCACCTCCTTGGTTAAATTTATTCCTAGGTATTTTATTTTTGATGCAGTTGTATATGGGGTTGTTTTCTTAATTTCTCTTTTTGATAGTTATTATTTAAAAAAACAATAGATTTTTGTGTATTCATATTGTATCCAGTAACTTTATTGAATTCATTTATTAGTTCTGTTAGTTTGTGATAGAGTCTTTAGGGTTTCCTAGCTATTTTCATGTGATCTGCAAACAGTGAGTTTTACTTCTGCCTTTTCGATTTGGATGCCTTTTCTTTCTTTTTTTTGCCTAACTATTCTGGCTAGTATTTCTAATACTATGTTGAATAAAAGTGGTGAGAGTGGACATCCTTGTCCTGTTCCTGACCTTAGAGGAAAAGCTTTGAGCTTTTCAATATTGAGTATGATTTAGCTGTAGGCTTGTCATATATGACCTTAACTATGTTGAGGTATGTTTCCTCTATACCTGCTTTTTTGAGAGATTTGAGATTTTATTATAAATGGATTTAAATTTTGTCAAATGCTTTTTATGCATCTGTTGAGGTGATCATGATTTTTGTCTTCATTTTGTTAATGAGGTGTATCACACTGACTGATTTACAGATATTGGACAATCCCTGTATCCTTAGAATAAATTTCACTTCATGATTGTATATGATCCTTTTAATGTGTTGCTGAATTCAGTTTGCTAATATTTTGTTGAGAATTTTTGCATCTGTGTTCATCGGGGATATTAGCCTGTAAAAAGAAAGTTTTTTTGTTTGGTGGCACTCTTGTCTGGTTTTGGTATCAGGCTAATACTGGCCTCATAAAATGTGTTTTGAAAAGATTCCCCCTCTTATATTTTTTGGAAGAATTTGAAAAAGCTTGATATTAATTCTTCTTTGAATGTTTGGTGGAATCCACCAGTGAAGCCATTTGGTCCTGGACTTTTGTTTGTTGAGAGTTTTTGTTGAATGAATTGATCTGCTTGCTGGTAAGTGGTCTGTTCATATTTTCTATTTCGTCATGATTCAGTCTTAGTAGCTTATATGTTTGTCAGAGTTTATCCTCTTCTTGTAGTTTGTCCAATCTGTTGGCATGTAATTTTTCATAGTAGTCTGTATGATCCTTTGTATTTCTGTGGTGTCACTTGTAATATCTCCTCTTTCATTTCTGACTTACTTGAGTCTTTTCTCTTTATTTTCTTGGTGAGTCTAGCTGAGGTTTTGTCAATTGTATTTCTCTTTTCACAGAACTAACTCCTAGTTTCATTGATCTTTTCTGTTGTCTTTTTAGTCTCTATTTCATTTATTTCTGCCCTAATTTACTAACTTTGGGCTTTTTTTGTTCTTTTTCTAGTTCTTTAAGGTGTAGTTAGGTTGTTTGTCTGAGGCTTTTCTTGTTTCTAGAGGTAGGTGTTTATCACTATGAACTTCCCTCATAGAACTGTTTTTGCTGCATTCTGTAAATTTTGGCATGTTACATTTCCATTTTGTTTTTCTCAAGGTATCTTTTGATTTCTCTTTTGATTTCTTCTTTGCCCATTGGTTATTCAGTAGCATGTTGTTTAATCTCCACATATTTGTGTATTTCCCATTTTTCTTCATGTAATTTCTCATTTCATGCCATTGTGGTTGGAAAAGATGCTTGATATGATTGCAGTCTTCTTAAATTTATTAAGACTTGATCTGTGGCCTAACATGATCTATCTTGGAAGATGTTCCATATACGCTTGAGAAGAATATGTATTCTGTTGCTTTTGGATAGAATAGTCTATAAATATGTGTTAAGTCCATCTGGTTTAACATGTTGTTTAAGGCTGATGTCTCCTTATTGATTTTCTGTCTGGATGATCTTTCCATTGATGTAAGTGGGATATTAAAGTTCCCTACTGTTATTGTATTGCTGTCTATGTCTCCCTTTAGGTCTGTTAATAATTGTGCTACATGTTTAGGTGCTCCTATGTTGGCTGCATAAAGATTTACAAATGTTATATCCTCTCATTGGATTAACCCCTTTATCATTATGTAATGTCTTCTTTGTCTCTTATTAAAGCATTTATATTAAAGTCTTTTTTTGTGTGTGTGTGATATAAGTATAGCTACTCCATCTTTCTTTGCCATTTCCATTTGCGTGGAATCTCTTTTACCATCCCTTCACTTTCGGTCTGTGTCCTTATATTGAAATTGTATCTCTTACAGGCAGCATATATAGGTGTGTCTTGCTTTTTATTCCTTCAGCCACTCTATGTCTTTTTGTTGGAGAATTTAGTCCATTTACATTTAAAGTTATTATTGATGGGCATGTCCTTATTGCCATTTTGTTAATTGTTTTCTAGCAGTTTTTGTAGTTTCTCTCTGTTCCTTTTTTCTTCTCTTGCTCTCTTCCTTTGTGGTTTGATGACTTTCTTTAGTGGTATGCTTATGTTCCTTTCTCTTTCTCTTTTGTGTATTTATTCTAGGTTTTTGCTTTGTGGTTGACGTGCGTCTTACACTTAACTTATATCTATAACAGTCTATTTTAAGTTGGTAGCATCTTAAGTTTGATCCCATTCTAAAGCTCAACACTTACTCTCATGTTTTATGTTTTTGATGTCACATTTTATGTATTTTTACCTTGTGTATCTTTTAGCTAATTATTATAATCATAGTTGTCTTTTAACCTTTATACTAGCTTTATTAGTGATTAATCCACTACCTTCACTATATATTTACTTTTCCAGTGAGATTTATCCTTTCATATGTGTTCTTGTTACTAATTAGCATCCTTTCTTTCAGCTTGAAGTTCCTTTAAAATTTCTTGTCAGGCCAGTTTAGTTTAGTGGTGGTGAACTCTAACTTCTGCTTCTCTGGAAAACTCGTTATCTCTTCTTCAATTCTGAATGAAAATTTTGCTCGGTAGAGTATTCTTGGTTGGAAGTTTTCTTCTTTCAGCACTTTGAATGTATTGTGCTTTCTGGCCTGCAAAGTTTGTGCTG